TACACTTGCCAGGCAGGCGTGGTTCCACTGAGCTACATTCCCGGCCCTTAGGTCTACTTTGTTTATTCTAGTTGCTAGACAATTTATTGAATGCACATCGAAACGTGGATGAATATCATTGGTGTTCATCAAGTTGTTCATTTTTATTGCTTCTTTATAGATGCAGGATTCTTAGTTGAAGTTCCAGTACACTGATTCCTCAAATGGGTGGCCATCCAACAAAAGGCTTTTCTTAAAAGTTGTTCCACGTGCCTTCTCTTTCAACATCTTCCCCTTAACATTACTTCCTTTCTGTTAACAGTTTTAGCAGGTGGTTCATTTGTATCTATGACAGAAACAGATCACAACAGAACTATTTACAGTCTTAGAGGTGAAATATTATTCTGAACTAGTTTGTGTTCTTGTTATCATCTCTGCAACATCCCCATAACATTTTTCTGTGGTTTTCCCTTAAACAAGTGAGGCCTCTGTGGCTTCTCATACAGTTTAATTTTTCTTTCTCATTTACAAAGCAAGCACTGGAGCAAGTCTGTCTTGGTTAAAATATTGATTGACATGGTTACTGTTGATTTAGATTTAAAATAATTTGTCTTTAGTTTCCTTGACAATTTAAGTCTTTGGCAAATATTCAAGACAAAAGCCATATATATTGTTTCATGTTGGTTTCCTATTAGTTGTTACAAGCTTTCAGCAAATAAAATTTGTATAATCAGGGGAATACAGTGGATTGCAGAGAAAATGATAAATGAGAGGTAAGAAGGTGGAAAGATTAGTAATATTTATTTCACTTACAATATATCTGTGTCTTCTAAAAGGGAGGATATGGTCTTTGTTTCATGTCCTGTGTTTCCCAATCAGCCTCTTCAAAAATATGGAATCAGAAAACTACACAAGGGTAGCAGAATTTTTACTTCTGGGTCTCTCAGAGGATCCGGACCTGCAGCCCATCCTCTTGGGACTGTTCCTTTCCATGTACCTGGTCACGGTGCTCGGGAACCTGCTCATCATCCTGGCTGTCAGCTCTGACTCCCACCTCCACACCCCCATGTATTTCTTCCTCTCCAACCTGTCCTTCACTGACATCTGTTTCTCTTCCACCACGGTCCCCAAGATGATTGTGGACATCCAGAAACAGCATAAAACCATCAGTTACAAAGGCTGCCTCACCCAGATGTGCTTTGTCCTGGTTTTTATTGGACTGGAAAACTTTCTTCTTACGGTTATGGCTTATGACCGTTACGTGGCCATATGCAATCCCCTTCGGTACACAGTCATTGTGAGTCCCCATGTGTGTGTCCTACTGATCGTGTTGTCTTTGTCCATCAGCATCGTGGACGCCCTGCTCCACACTCTGATGGCACTGTGGCTGTCCTTCTGCACAGACCTGACAATCCCACACTTCTTCTGTGAACTTGCCCAGGTCATCAAACTTGCTTGTTCTGACACCTTCATCAATACCATCTTAGTTTACATGGTGACTGGTATATTGGCTGTTGTTTCTCTCATTGGGATTATTTTCTCTTATGTTAAAATTTTCTCATCCATCCGGAGAATGCCTTCCACTAGGGCAAAGCATAAAGTCTTTTCTACCTGTGGATCACACCTCTCAGTTGTCGCCTTGTTCTATGGGACAGGTTTTGGGGTGTATGCTAGCTCTGAATTTTCTGCCTCATCTAGCAGTTCTGCAGTTGCTTCATTGATGTACACGGTGGTCACTCCACTGATGAATCCATTTCTCTACAGCCTGAGGAACAGAGATGTAAAAGAAGCCTTGAAGAAACTCATCAGACCATCTCCTTTTGTGAGGTTGTCTCATGCGCTTTGAACTCGAGCTTCCAGAATGAATGAAAGAAAATACAGGAGCTCTGAGTGAGCCAACAAAATAGGCACTTTCACAACCGAGTTCATAGGCTCCAAAGTTTAGCTGCCGTAATGGTGGAGGATGTTTCAACTTACATTTGAAAACTGCTTTAGTGTTCTGTAGCACTGTAACTTGTGAAAATGCATGTTGAATTTCTGAGCTTGATTTCTGGGTCATTTTGTATTGAAGCAAGAACATGAGAAAAAGTTCCTTTTTTTGAAATCTAAGTTTATTAGTACATTTTAGGTATACAATGCAGTTACAGTTACAGCCATCATTGGAATCTTGTACCTTTACATAAGTTATGTTGATTCATATTTTTCCCCGTTCCCAGCCCTCCCTTCACCCCCCGTTCAGTCTTCCCTATTTAAAAAGACACTGTTTTAATTTTTCCTTTTCTCATATTTTTTCTTTTACCTTTTTCCTACTACACCCATTTCCCTTACTCTTTTAAACCTTTTTTTTCCTATTATGCAATAACAGTTACATATTTTGGTCATTATTTGCCTTTGTAGTTTTTCACACCAGAGAAACTATTCAGTATTTAAATGTGTGCCTTATTAATTTCACCTGAGTATGGCCTCAATGTGTATCCACTTAGCTTTAAAAATATGTAGTTTCTCATTCTTTATGGCTGAGTAGTACTCCATTTTGTAAAAAAAACAAAATCATCTTTTTCCTGTCTCCCGTTGATGGGCCACTGGGCTACTTCCAAGTTTCAGCTATTACAAACTGTGCCGCTATAAACACGGTGAGCATATATCACTGTGGTATGATTCTTTTAATTATTTGGGAAGATACCCAGCAGAGGAAGAGCTGGGTCAAATGGCAGTTCTAATCCTAGTTGTTTGAGGTAAATTTCCACATTGATTTCCACAGTGGTTGCACCAGTCTGCACTCCCACCAACAATGGAGAAGGGTTCCTTTCTCCCCAAAACCCTGCCAACAGTTGTTAGTGGTTGATTTCTTGATAGCCATTCTTTCTGAGGTGAGGTGGAATCTCAGTGTTGTTTTCATCTGCATCTCTCGAATGATCAATGATGTTGAACATTTTTTCTTACATTTATTAGCTGCTTTTACTTCTTTGTCTGAGAAATGTCTGCTCATTTCAGATGCCCATTTTTGAAATGGGCCTTTATATTTAGGGAATCTGATTGTTTTGAGTTCTTTATATATTCTGGATAATAGACCTTTGTCTGAGGAACAGCTGATAAAATTTTTATGCACTTTGTAGGTTGTCCTTTAGCTCTGTTGGAGATTTTTCTTGTAGTGCAAAAGCCTTTTAAAAAGATGAGATCCCAATTGTTGGTTCTTAGTGCTAGTTCCCAAGCTACTGAGGATTTGTTCATAAAGACTTTTCCTAGGCCAATACTTTTGAGAGTTTCATCTAACCTATCTTCAAGCCAGTTTAGTGTGCCTGGTTAGATATGTGTGTATGGATGTATGTTTGCACTTCAGTGCTGAATACTGGATCCAGAACTTTGTGAATGCCATTAAGCCCTGCACCAGTTGGCTGTACTTCTGACCCCAGAAAGTGCAGAAAACATGTAAGTGTGGCAAAATACTTGATAAACACAGTATGGAAGTCTTTAAGTATGAAAGGTTTAAAGTCAAGACTGACATGGTCCATCATCACCTATTATGAAACAAGGACTGAAAACTGGTTGGGCTGAGCATATTATAGACACATTATACAATTACTGCTTTCTGTTGAATTTTCAATTAAATTAGCATCTCAATTGAGGAACCAAATACTCAACTCCTCCTCCTTAGTTAAAAAAAAAACCTACTGAAAATTGTCAAAGGCATTTACCTGTGCTGAGCGGGCATTCATGATACTGCCTATGTTTTTAGCCATCAGCAGTGATCATAGAGAGCAGATTAGAATCTCCTCTGGTACATAAAAAAGTTAAAGTTTAATCATCAATGCTGCATAGGAAAAGGTAACCCAAGTGCTTGCATTTTAATAAAATTTAATATTTATAACTTTTATTTATATACACATGTATAATTTTTCCCACTTTTAAGATTTTTTAATCTTATTGAGTTTATTGGAACTTTTAAGTATACAGTACAGTCGCATTCATCATTGGGATCTTGTACCTTTACATGACAGGTCTTGGTTCTCATTTTTTCCCCTTGTCCCTGCCCTCCCTTTACCCCCTCCATCTTCCTGTATTTACAAAGACTTTGTTTCCATTTGTTCCTTTTATCATATTTTTTCTTGTCCCTTATTTCCTTTCACCTACCCTTCCCACTTCCCCTACACCTTTAGCTCTTTTCTTCCTATTTCACATTATCAATTATTCCATTTGGATCTTATTTACACTTTTAGTTTTTCACACCAGAGAAACTATTTGGTATTTACATACGTGTGTCTTATTTATTTCACTTAAGCCCACTTTCAATAGAACATATGTTTCCACATATCATGGAAGAGATCAGCCTTCATCTATGAATCAAAAGAAATACTCAGACATATTAGAAAAGTCTGTGTTCTGTGTAGAAAGTCTGAAAGATCCAGGGGAGTTTAAATAATGGAGAAAATGGAATCATGCAAACATGGCCTGTGGAAGCCAGGACATTATCCATCCTGATTTCTTCTCCTCCATAGTCTGTATCTTTAAGAATGTGTCCTTCTTGGGTTAGAATGACAGTGAAGTAGCTCATCTAATGAGAAACTTTGGATATTGGGCACCCAGGGATACACAGACCACGGGAATCAGCCAGTGAAAAACCTCACTCCAAAGCCCTACCTTGCTAGGAATCAGTACCTGAATTGCTACCCAGGAACGATGGTTTTGACAAGGACTCTCAGCACATGTAGTCACAGCCCACCCCTTGTCAACTTGACAACCAAGCACGTCTCCTCAAATCATATGTAATCTCTGGTGTAACAGCAAGGCCTTACTTATACCTAACATGATAAAACTATTCTGCGTACAAACAGAAACACAAGTTTCCTTCCCAAATAAAGGTAAAGTTTTCTGGTGTGGGGGGGTGATGATTACTCTTTTCCTGAGTTTCCATAACTTAAATATTGTAATGTAGATATAATAATATTAAGTACTCATATTAAGTCAATCAACATTCTGGTACAAAGAAAGAAAACAAAGCTACTAGTTTAGTTTATGTGCATATGTATGCATGAGCATATTAAAAAAACAGGAGACAAATGGTCATGACAGTTACCATCCTTGTTTCTGTAGCTGGTCACTTGGCTGTAGCTGGTATTTGTAACCACCTTCTTCTACTTCTCACTTTGTATTCCCTTGGCCTTCAGCAAGCACCTCAGCAGGTCTTTTCTTTACTTAGTACAGTGATCCATCGCTGAAGGTTTTGAACTTCTTCTCATCCTGCCTGGATTGGGTTGTCGTAGTTTCACACTGCCCTTACTAACAGGGCAAGGTAATAGTGGCAGATATCTTAGGGGATGTCCTGCAATTCAAATGTATCTTTTTACCGCATTATAGACTAGTAGTCCAATTTCCCTTTCCATCAATCTCACCCAGCAACACCACAACACCATAACTTGTTCAGTTAGACACATGAGGATCCAAGAATGACTAGGTATGTTTCTTAGCTTTCGGTTCGGTGGAATCCTATTTATGCCCCCTGGAACAAGCCTTACCTGTCTGGAACTAAGACTTCTAGGCCAGCGCAGTAGAAAGTGTTGAGAACAGGAAGTGAAAAATTTGCAAGTGCATCCTAGGGATAACTTTGAATGGTACCATTCTCACTTCTGTTGCCTTGGACCTGTGATTCTGGGCTGTGGGAGAAACAAGAACATATAATGCAGGTGGATAGAAAGCATATACAGCCTTTTGGAGAACTTTGCCCTAGGCTTACAAAGCGTTGTCAGCCACACGGCACTGTAATGGCATCTTCACTAGGACATCGAACCTTTCTATCAAGCCAAATGGTTCTCAGTGGTGGGGAACAGGGTAAAACCAGTGAGTATGAGCAAGAGCCCACTGCCATACTTCTTTGTCCATGAAGTACGTTCCTTGATCAAAAGCAATGCTGGGAGGAACGCCATGGCGGTGGTGGCTGAGGCATTCTGTAAACTTATGGGTGGAAGTTATAGCAGAAGCATTATGTGCAGGGGAGGCAAATCCATACCTAGAATAAGTGTTGCATTTTTCATGATTAAAGCGAACCAGTATAACCAACCTGCCATCATGCTGCAGGCTGATCATGCCAAAGAACGGTCTTTGCAGCTGGCATTCAGCAGTGGATTTAGCCTTGGTCAGCTGTGATGAGTAAAAGGCCATGTCTCTGAGCCTTACCAACAGGATCACCCCATTCATGAGCCCCATGGGCAATGGGAGGGGTGGTTGAGGCAAAATGTTGACTGCTATGCACAGGAAGAGTCATCCTGTCTACTTTATCAAACTCCTCTTCTGGTGAAGTCACCATTTGGTGAGCATTTATATGCAACACAAATATGTTTGCAACCTTCGGCCATGTGGACATTTCCACCCATATACTTCTTCCCCACATGTATTTGTCATCAACTTTCCAGTCATGTTCTTTCAATAGCCCTGACCACCTGGCCAGATCGTTAGCTGCACTCCATCATTGGTATATATCTCCACACTTGACCATTTTTTCTTCTTCAAAGCAACATATATGCCAAGGTGAACTTCTGAGTGTTCTGTCCACCATGACGAATTTATTTCACCACTGTCTTTCAGGGATGTCCTGGAAAGGGGCAGCAGTGCTGATGCTGAACACTCTGGATGGTGCCTGTATGATGTGCAGCACCATCTGTGAACCAGAACTAGGCTTTTCCTCCTGACAACTGGTTATGGAATGCATCCAATGGAGTACATGTTGTGTGGCCGAAGAAAGTATAGCAGGAGTATGAACCATGGGCATTTGGAAAACTCCTTGCAACTTACTTGTAACTTCCAGACCTACCCAGGCATGAGGACATATACACCACTGCATTTGATGATGGGCTCTTTCTGTGCAGGTCCGACTTTATGTTGTGGTGAATTAGCTTGCATCCAGTTCGTAATGGGCAGCTCAGTGTTCAAAGTAACCTGGTGTCCCATGGTGAACTCATCAGGTTCTATCAAATCTCAGCAGTGGGCCAGGAGGTGTATGTCAAATGGAAAGCAGTTTTTTGCCGATGGTGGTGTGGCCTTTCTCCAAAATCCTCAAGGCCTCCACTGTGATACAAAATAGAAGCATGCTGGAGGCTTCAAACAGCAATTTTAGCTGCCACTGACACCTCAAGTGTTACTGTATCTTCTTGATTTCTTTTTGTTTCAAGTGGAAGAGCAACTGCGCAGCCATCTTTGGTTTCCAGCCCCACACAGCATGAGAAGCCATCTTAGTCACTTGGTCAATGGGCTAGAGTAACAAACCCAAGTGAAAAAGGTGTTGCTTCCAAAATTCAAATTCAGCCACAAGACAAAGCGCCTGCCCCTCAATCGCAGAAGGTTACCAGATGCAACAGCAAATCCTCTTCTCACACCACCTGATTTCCAACGTGTCACTGAGATAGAAGGCCCTCGCAATTTAGGTGGACTTATTTCCCATCCTTTGACGTGCATACGCTTTACCAAGAAGACCAGAGTCAGCGCTACTTTTGCTCACATGGCCCAATCGGCATAATTTCATCAACGTAAGGGACCATTGTGATATTTTATGGAAGACAAAAGGAATGAATGACCGTCTGAGATGTGACACAAGACTGGACAACGGGTATGCCCCTTGAGGTCAGACAACAAAAGAGTATCGGTGAACTAAGGAATGTGAGCCATTTCTGGCCCATTTAAGCGGGTCATCTTTTGATGCATATCTCAGCCAAGGAAATGAACTGTTATCACCTTCTAAAACCCTATGAACTGTGATTTCAATTCAGAATATTTATGGAATAGCTATGTATCAAGAAATGCATCCTGATCCAAGTGTATGCATTTTCTCTTTTTTTTTTCTATTTAGTTTATTGGTATTTTTTAGGTATACAGTACAGTTACATTCATGATTGGGATCTTGTACCTTTACAACAGGTCTTGGTTCTCATTTTTTCCCCATAACCCTGCCCTCCCTTCACCTCCTTCTCCCCTCCCCAATTACAATCACTTTATTTCCATTTTCTTATATTTTTTCTTTTCCCGTATTTCTTTGCCCCTCCCCTTCCCACTTTCCCCACAACTTTAGCCCTTTTCTTCCTACTTTACATTGTCAATTATATCCTTAGAATCTTATGTACTATTACAGTTTTTTACACCAGAGAAGCTATTTGGTATTTACAGGTGTGACTTATTTATTTCACTTAGGAGTATATCCTCAATATGTATCCATTTTCCTATAAATAAATCTAATTTCTTATTCTTTATGGCTGAGTAATATTCCATTTTATAGAAAAACCACATCGTTATCCATTCTCCAACTGATGGCCAAATGGGCTGTTTCCAACTTTGAGCTATTACAACTGTGCTGCTATAAACATGGGTGTGCATGTAGCACTGTGGAATGATTCTTTTAATTTTGGGGGAAGATACCCAGCAGAGGGAATTTGAATCTTTGAGAGCCTTCTTTTCCTCTGTTCCTTTCTCTTCACACATATTAAACATTTGTAATGATTGCTGTGTGCAGTGTATGATTTTCTCTTAGTTATTGTCTAGAAATGGTAAGAAACCAGCCAGCACCATTGTATTGCTTCATCTCCAAAAAATTAGAAAGGTGTTGTATACAAAGCTTAAACTTGTTGAATCACACAATGGACCATCAGGACAGTCAAATGGCTTTATGTTTCCTATTATTTAAACACTTCACATCCTCAGTACTCTCTACATCATCAGAAGGAGAGACCATGGCCACTGTAGGTGTCATCAAATTAGGAAGCCTGCTGTAGGAGCCATTAAACTGTTTAGACAGCTTTGTCCTTACATTCTGTTACTCTAGAACCACTCCTGGTGGAAAAGTCTGAATGAGTTAGGGATCTCTAAAGCAAGAAAAATATATAAAATTACACAAGAGGATATACTAGCTGGCCTTAGAGGATCAGAGACAGAAGACTCAGTGGCTCTCTGTAGGATCACAAGTAGAAGAATCCAAAATTTCTGTCTGTGGCTTAGTGAGACAGAGAATCCAGCAGCAGTCAGGGGTCAAAGGCTTGGAAGTTGGCTATGCAGTCACGGGTGCAAGTGTACAATGGAAAGCTGGAGAATCTTCACTGAGAGGCTTAAGAAATGGGACCAATGTTCAAAGGCAAGAGCACAGGCTGGAGGTCTTCCAATATAGGGCAACTTTGCATTCTTCTTCCCCTGTTTATTCTGTGCTGCCTACAAGCCATAAACACATGCCACACAGTGAGTGGCTTAACCACGATCCTGCTAGCTAAATGGCAAAACTGGAGATGTTCAACAGGAAGCTTATTAAACACACACCTGCTTTACATCGGTGCTACTATTTTACGTGTCATCTTTTTACCGCTTCTTTTCCATCAGATTCTTTAGCACCATGGAAACTGGAAATACATCAGCTCTTTCAGAATTCTGCTTCTGGGCTCTGACAGATAATGTGGAACTGCAGCCTTTCATTTTCAGCCTCCTGCTATCCGCGAAGCTGGTAACCATACTGCGAAACCTATTCATCGTCCTGGCCATCCACCCTGACTCTTCTCTCCACAGCCCCTTGTATTTCTATCTTGCCATGGTGTCTTTTGCTAACAGGTGTTTAAATTCAAGCACCATTCCCAAGCAGAGCCCGGTGAACATCCAAACTCAAAATAGGGAAGTAGTCCCCCAGGCTGCCTCACTCAGGTCAGATTAATCTTATTTTTTGATGGCTGGGAAAACTGTCTCCTTACAATGACAGCTGTGGGTGCTATGGGACCATCTGCTTCCACTTAGGCGTGCAGCAAGCATGATCCCCACATCCGTGTCTGTCCTGTTCCGCTCTCATAGGTCACCAGCCTTGGGGATGGCCTGCTCACACTGTGATGGTGCTGTAACTGTCCTTCTGCAATGTCCTGAAAATCCTGACCGTCTTCTCTTACTTGCTCAGATCGTCAAATTTGCCTTTACCGAGTTCCCTATGGATGGATCACATCCTGCTATACATTGCTTCTTACTTATTTGCTGGTATTTTGTTCCTTGGAATTATTGTGTCTCATATTCATATTGTGTCCTCTGTTTTGAGAATAATGTCATCCAGAGAAAAGTAAAAAGCCTTTTTTACCTGTGGTTCTCAGCTGAGGGTTGTATCCTTGGTCCACGGGACAGCTTTTCCCCTGTACATGAGTGCTGCTGAGCCTCCTTCGGGAGGACATGGTGTCTTCAAGGCTGTAGTCTGTCTCTGAGATGCTGAATCCCCTCTGTGATGTCATTCACTTTGCACTTAGGATTCTACAGTAAGTCACAGTGACTGGCCTCCTGCTGAGCCAATTGCCTGACTCTGTTATCGTGTTCCTTCTCCAGTGATGGGAACACATAAGAACCGTACACATTGTAACTTGGCTGGAAACCTGTATCTTCCCTTACTCTCTCCAGTTCAGCGATGTGCTGTTTGACCTTCTCAGCATGTTTTTTCCCTCTAGTTTCCCATTACAGAGCCTGACATGGGGTTCTCCAGGCTTACTTTGCTCATGCTCAAAGTCTTTTTAAATAGGCTCATTCATGAAATTTATTTTAATTTCCATGTTAAAAAACTTGTCTTCTCCTCCTTCTCATGGAGCCCCTTTCTGTAAGGACTTCGTAGCTCTTGTTACCACACCCAGGGTCTAGCGCTTTGGAGGCACTCAAGAAATGGTTACTGAGTGGGCATCTGCTATGTGCTCTGCTTATCCTGCCTTTTACATTTTTTGTTATGTGTTTGTGAATTACGGTGATCACACTCAGCATGGGAAATGATACACAGACGTCTTTCTCACTCTCCCAGGACCTCCCCAACCTACCCTCTCTGTCTTTCCAGCCCTTTCCCAGGTCTAGAGACTATGCCTCTGCCCTTTGTGTTCAGTGTCCTTGAAATCTTTAACTTTCTGTTCACATAGATGCACAAACTGTCCACATACCTTTGTCCTGATATTCATTTTAGGACACACGAAGAAATACGGAGCTTCAGGAGTCAGGTGATGGAATCCTGTTTGCATTTCAGTATTTCCAGTCTGCTAATCCTAAGAGCTTACATCAAGTGGTAGTGTAAAGTCAACAGCACAGCTTGGCATCAACATTTCAAGTGTGTGTACCTACACATTTCTCTTAAACACTCTCCCCAGACTTGTCCCTCCACTTGAGCTACAGGCTCCTTGTCTTCTCACTTGAGGCGGAAGTACTCAGAGTGTCATCCCACACTTTTCCTCTCACAGTTTTTGACATCAACCCACCCATTTATATTACAGTTTAGTGTATGTAAATGACTATACATGTGAGCTTTGTGTCCAGTTTCCAGTCAGGGTTCACAGTTTTTTCTATTATCAAAAGTCAGGGTTCTTCTAATTTCTTCTTTTTGTTTAAATGTAGGAAAAATTTATTGAGGGAAAGAAAGTTTCTGTCTAAGAGAGACAGAAGGGGGACCAGAAAGTGGCTTGCGCCTCTGCTCCTAATTTCAATTTATCAACTTCTGCTGTTTAATGACCTGGAAAATAGTAAAAATTCATCCACTAAGCTATGGCAAGCTTGGTTAAGTTCTTGCTTATAATATTTTCTGAAACTAACAGGTGTTCAGAACCCAGTCATATCCAGTTCTTGAGTTCATCCATATTTGCCAAATACAACATCTCTATGTCTTCCTTGGCCACAAATTTCTTCCTATGATACCAAATCCACCTGACATATACAAGGGATTTCTCAGTTCTTGAAATAGACCGAGGGCTCTCTTGGATTCCATTGACTTTGCATGTTAGGTTTAGCGTGTTACTTTTATGAGAAAATTTAACTTATTGAAAAAATATTATTATTTCTTGAGTATACAAGAAAACAAATATGTTTTCCAAGACCACTGATGTTTTTGTTCCCTTAGTCTATGAATCCTTTTTTAAAAAAAATAAATTGGATTAAAATGGAGGAGAAAGAGCACATAGGGCTATCTTGTCATAAACTTATTATGTGAATTATAAATTCATATAGAAATAACATATGTTGTAGGTGCAGTTGATGATCATCAGCAAACAATGAGCTTGTTCAGTATCAAAGACGACGAAAGGTGGAGACTTGGAGCAGCATCTCTGTGTATCAAAAGGTGGTTGAAATCTTAGTCCTTGTGCTTTGCACATGGGCATATCTGCCCGCATCTCCCTGAGGGAATCTTGCAATTGCATTCACACCTCAGTGAAAAATGAAGAAACAGTAATCCAACTCACAGTTGTCCTATTTGAAGCAAAGAGAGGCTGGAAAATTGAAAAAGGCCTTCATCAAATTCCAGGAGGTCCTAGTCTATATTTTTGCCCACTGATTCAGATAACAATCCTCTGTGGTAATTGTAAAACATTAAAATTAAGGTCCATTCACGTCCATGGACTCTAAGCAAAGAGACACTGAAGGGTTGTACTTTAATGCACTGTAGTAAATATTTATAGAATATTGTTTTATACTTTTGCCTGGAAGATGCAATTTCTCATTCAAAATAGGAGTCTGGATTTCAGATACAACCAAATAGAAAACAGGTAATTTTTTACTAAAAGGTAGCACGAAAATTACTTCGAGAGGCTGTGTGTGTATTTTCCGTACGAGGTCCCCAAAACAGAGATGAACAGAAACAACAGAGAAAAATGACGGCGAAATTTGGCTCAGGCATGAGGAAATCACCCTTTCCTGAACTCCTCCCCTCAGGAGAATGAGGTTCTGGCCTCCTGGGATTAGACTGACACTGAAATCGCTGTTTTAATAAGGACAACTGGATATTGATCTCCTGGGGATAAAGAGGATATAGGAGTTGTCTAGTGAGAACATCACAAAACATCGCCGCTCCTGTCAGGGAGCAAGATCTGAGCCTCTTCTGAGAGATGCTCACTCCTGACCGGGGTCCCTCTGGCTCATTTCCCGAGGACACACTGTCCGTCTTCAGTTTTCAGGTAGAGTATTCCACATCGTTTGAATTGAAAGCAAACAGGGAGCACAAAGTTTAGTCAATGTGTTTTGGAGATGGTGGAGATGTTTGTGTAATTTCACATAGGGAGGAAAAGGAGAGAAATGCATAAGTTAATGAGAAGAATCCACTGTGGCTCTGCTCTTCACTCTTTCTCTCTCCACTCATTGTCACTTGTGAGAGGAAAAGATACAGCTCCTGTCAAATTTAAAAAATCTGTGACACTGTATCATTGTCTGCAAAGCAGTTACTCAGATGAGTTCCTTCCACACACAGAAAGGGCCGTGAGAGGTAAAATTTGGAATCAATTCAGGACATCAAGGGAGCCATAAGAACACAGATTAAAACACTCATGAAATTAGCCTCACAGCACTGTTTTAGAAATTGACAAGAATATGTGTTTGAAGAGAGAGGAACATTTCAATGGTTATTAAGTGCAATGTGTCTCCTATTGTAATAAAAAATTAATCTTTCAGATGGTCAAAATCTGTGGAGGACAGGAAGGGGAGTTGCTTAGACTAAAGATATGTCACGGAAAGGAAAAGCAGACATTGTACACGATAAGCATGGGTCAAGATTAATTAGGAAGGAAAATTGCTATGAGGTATTAGAGGAGGGTGGTGAGAGGTGACGGAATAGAAGAGGATTACAAAAAAACAAGCTGTGTTATGTACATGTTCACACTTCCAAAGATGATTGTAAAATGTATGTACTCTAAACAGGTACTAATAAAAGTGAAAAGTAATCATTCACTGTATTTTTAGTAAGAGTCCTCATGAATGTGCAGGTACTGAGTTCCTGCTTCTGCTGGTCTAATATTTTGCCCAAGTACAAGTCTAATGTCCTTTAGACCAAATACCTGCTCATTCTGTGATAGAATAACTAATAGAAGATAATTTGCCATTTACTGTGCTTTACTTCTAGAGTTAGAACAGGGAGGTCAGTGAGTTTTTTAGTCCCTAGGGATGATGTAAAAATGGCACAAAATGGTTGGATTATCAAGAGGACATTATTTCTTCACTATTGTGAAGGCAAAATTTTGAAGATCATGGTGTCCACAGGATGCTTTTCTGACACATCCTTCTCTTACAGTCCCTCTCCAACATAGTTTTTAATCCTTTCCCCAATTCCTGTTAATCAGATCAAGCACACATGGAAGCTAGAAATCAAACACCTGTCTTGGAATTCCTTCTCCTGGGACTCACAGAGGACCCCGGGCTTCAGCCCCTTGTTTTCAGCCTGTTCCTGTCTGTGTACCTGGTCACCATCCTGGGAAACCTGCTCATCATCCTGGCCGTCAGCTCTGACTGCCACCTCCACACCCCCATGTACTTCTTCCTCTTCAGCCTGTCCCTTACAGACATCGGTTTAAGCACAAGCACAGTCCCAAAGATGCTGGTGAACATTCACGCGGAAGACCAGAGAATCTCTTACCCAGGCTGCATCACCCAGCTCTGTTCAGTCCTGGTTTTCAGTGGACTGGAGACTTGTCTCCTTTCAGCAATGGCCTATGACCGCTACGTGGCCATCTGCCATCCCCTCAGGTACGCACTCATCATGAGCACCCGTGTGTGTGTTTCACTGACTCTCTTCTCCTTGGCTGTTAGCATCCTGAATGGACTGATTCACAGTATGTTGGTGCTGAGGCTGTCTTTCTGCACAGAGATAAGAATCCCCCAGTTCTTTTGTGAACTTGCCCAGATCCTCAGGATCACTTGTTCTGATACCCTGATTCACAACATAGTAATATATGTTTCAACTTGCATCTTTGCTGGTGTTCCTGTGCTTGGAATCTTGTTTTCTTACATTCACATTGTGTCATCGATCCTGAGGATGCCATCATCAGGAAGAATGCATAAGGGCTTTTCCACCTGTGGCTCTCACTTTTCCGTTGTCACGCTGTTGTATGGGACAGGTTTGGGGGTGTACATTAGCTCTGCAGTGACTGATTCACCCAGAAAGACTACAGTGGCTTCAGTGATGTATTGTGTGGTCCCTCAAATGCTGAACCCCTTCATCTACAGTCTGAGGAACAGGGATATGAAGGAAGCCTTGAGAAAACTCCTTTGCAGAACAGCATCTCTCCTTTGATCTGCTGTGTGCTCTCTGCTTCAGTTTCCAGAGTGAGCCGTAGGGACTGGAGTCCTGGTGAGATGGAACAGCTGACCCGAATCTCACTATGTGATGAGGTCGTCTAGTGGCCATGCACTTTTAAGTATGGATCAGTGTGAGACTTTGTTTTTGTGTAGCTCTGTAATGTGATGCATGAGACATGATTTCAATCTTTGAACACAGACTTGTTATTAGTATACATTTGCCCCACATAACAATTACATTTATCTTGGGAAACTGGGACATTGGCATGTGGCATTTTGATCATGTTTCACTGAGTTTATTGGTACCTTTTAGATATACAGTACAGTTACATTTATCATTGGGATTTTGGCCTTTATATGGCACGTCTTAGCTCTTATTTTTTCCTCATAACCCTGCCCTCCCTTCACCGCTCTTCCCTCCTGTATTTTGCAAAATTTCATTGCCATTTTTTCATTTTCTTAGATTTTTTCTTTTCCCTTATTTCCTGTCCCCTACACTTGTCACTTCCCCTACACCTTTACTGGAAAAAGATGTGGTTTTGGTATAAAATGGAATACAACTAATTCATAAAGAATTAGAAATTGGAGTCATTCATAGGACATGGATGCATATTGAGGCCATACTCCTAAGTGAAATAAATATGTCATTCATGGTAAATACTGAATAGTTTCTCTGGTGTGAAAAACTGTGATTGTAAATAAGATCCGAATGGTACAAGTGTATGCATTTTCTACCATTATCTCACACCCTTAAATTGTATTCTTATACTCATTTCTCAGACCTCCAATTGTAAGAAATAGAAAGCCCAAGAAGTTCTCTCAGAGTGCAGTGGTTTTCCTCCTGGGTCCCTCGGTATAGCGTGCCTTTAGGAGCCTTCTGCACTTTGGGCCTGGTCATAGGTGTAGGAGCAAAAATGGGTGATGACAGTGGGTCCGTCAGCATCAACATAATGCAATTTTGGAACAATTCAAAATTATATTTGCATCGGGAATGGCCACTAGTTTTCATAGGCAACACACGACTGATTTATTCTGAAATAGGAGCAGTGCTCCACACCATGAGCACGGGGTGTCCCACCAATGAGGGTGGGGAATTCTCTTCCTCTGGGAGAATAATCTCATCAGAATTCAGAAGGTTAATATGCCTGCCTCATTAGGTTTCTCCCAAACATCCCCATCTTAACTGACAGAATCCCAGTCCTTTGTGATCAGCGTCCACAGCTCAATATCCTGTACAATTGAAGGCTGAAGTTGAAACTTGCACTGTGTTTCAGCCATTCAAATTGTGGAGTGTTATTTATTTTTTTTAGCAACTTCATCCCTATGGCTAAAGGAGAGAAAATTCTCCTCCAGGACACTTTGAAAGTCAAATTATTTATGAGTGTCTGGAGTTGGGAATTTGAGTATTTTTTCTCGGTGAATTTATTGGTATATTTTAAGTATACAGTGCAGTTCCATTCATCATTGGGAACTTGTGCCTTTACATGACAGGTCTTGGTTCTCATTTTTCCCCCTTGTCCCTGCCCTCCCCTCACCCCCTTCTCTCTTCCCCATTTACAAATACTTTATTTCCAGGTTTTCATTTTCTCAAAGTTTTTTATCTTTTCCCTTGTTTCCTTTCCCCTCCCCTTCCCACTTCCCCTACACCTTTAGCCCTTTTTTCTCTGTTTCACATTATCAATTATAACACTTGGTTTTTATTTACACTTTTAGTTTTTCATACCAGAGAAACTATTAGGTATTTACACGTGTGAATCATTTATTTCCCTTAAGAGCATGACCTAAATATGCATCTATTTTCGTATGAGTGGCTAAGTTCTCATTCTTTATGGCTGTGTAGTATTCTATTTTATAGAAAGACCACATCTTCTTAATCCAGTCTCCAACTGATGGGCAATTGGGCTGTTACCAAGTTTGAGCTATTAGTAACTGTGCGGCTATAAACATGGTTGTGTATATATCACTGTGGTATGATTCCATTAATTCTTTTGGAAAGCGACCCAGCAAAGGCAATTTGAATCTTTGAGAGCCTTCTTTTCCTCTGTTCCATTCTCTTCACACATATTAAACATTTGTAATGATTGGTGTGTGCAGGATATGATTTTCCCATTTGGACTTTTCTAGAAATGTTGAGAAACCAGCCAGCACCATTGTATTGCTTCATCTCCAAAAAGTTTCAGAGGTGTTGTATACAAAGTTTAAACTTGTTGAATCACACAATGGACCATCAGGACAATCAAATGGCTTTATATTTCCTCTTGCTTCAAACAGTTCACTTCCTCAGTACTCTCTACATCATCAGAAGGAGAAACCATGGCCACTGTTGGTGTCATCAAATTAGGAAGCCAGCAGTAGGAGCCATTAAACTGATTAGACAGCTTTGTCCTTACATTCTGTTACTCTAGAACCACTCCTGGTGCAAAAGTCTGTGTGAGTTACGCTTCTCTAAAGCAACAAAAATATGTAAAATTACACAAGAGGATATACTAGCTGGCCTTAGAGGATCAGAGACAGAAGACTCAGTGGCTCTCTGTAGGATCACAGGTAGAAGAATCCAAAATTTCTGTCTGTGGCTTAGTGAGACAGAGAATCCAGCAGCAGTCAGGGGTCAAAGGCTTGGAAGTTGGCTATGCAGTCACGGGTGCAAGTGTACAATGGAAAGCTGGAGAATCTTCACTGAGAGGCTTAAGAAATGGGACCAATGTTCAAAGGCAAGAGCACAGGCTGGAGGTCTTCCGATAAAGGGCAACTCTGCATTCTTCTTCCCCTGTTTATTCTGTCCTGGCTACAAGCCAATAACACATGCCACAGAATGAGTGGCTTCATCACGGTCCTGGTAGCTAAATGGCAAAACTCAAGATATCCAACAGGAAACTTATTAAACACATACCTGTTTTACATTGGTGCTACTATTGTACGTGTCATCTTTTTACCGCTTATTTTCCATCAGATTCTTTAGCACCATGGAAACTGGAAATACATCAGCTCTTTCAGAATTCTGCCTCTTGACTCTGACAGATAATGTGGAACCGCAGCCTTTCATCTTCAGCCTCCTGCTATCTGCAAAGCTGGTAACCATACTGCGAAACCTATTCATCATCCTGGGCATCCACCCTGAGTCTTCTCTCCACAGCCCCTTGTATTTCCATCTTGTCATGGTGTCTTTTGCTAACAGGTGTTTAAACTCAAGTCCCATTCCCAAGCAGAGCCCGGTGAACATCCAAACTCAAAATGAGAGAAGTAATTACCCAGGCTGCCTCACTCAGGTCAGGTTAATCTTAATTTTTGATGGCTGGGAAAACTGTCTCCTTACAGTGAGACCCGTGGGTGCTATATGTCACCATCTACTTCTACTAAGGAGTGCAGCGAGCATGATCCCCACATCCGTGTCTGTCCTGTTCCACTCTCAAGGGTCACCAGCCTTGCGGATGGCCTGCTTACACTGTGATGGTGCTGTAGTTGTCCACTGCAAGGACCTGCGAATCCTGCACGTCTTCTCTTACTTGCTCAGATCATCAAATTTGCCTGTACCGAGTTCCTTATGGATGGATCGCATCCTACTACACCTTGCTTCTTACCCATTTGCTGGTATTTTGTTCCTTGGAATTATTGTGTCTCATATTCATATTGTGTCCTCTGTTTTGAGAATAATGTCATCCAGAGAAAAGTAAAAAGCCTTTCTTACCTGCGGTTCTCACCTGAGGGTTGTATCCTTGGTCCACGGGACAGCTTTTCCCCTGTACATGAGTGCTGCTGAGCCTCCTTCGGGAGGACATGGTGTCTTCAAGGCTGTAGTCTGTCTCTGAGATGCTGAATCCCCTCTGTGATGTCATTCACTTTGCACTTAGGATTCTACAGTAAGTCACAGTGACTGGCCTCCTGGTGAACCAAATGCCTGACTCTGTTATCACATTTCTTCTCCAGAGATGGGAAATCATAAGAACTGTGCACATTTCAACTGTCAAAGAAACAGACTTTTGAATCAGTGCAACAGATTTGAAGATGCAAAAACAAATCCAGATACACTCAGCTACGTCATCTTTGACAAAGGAGCTGACCATCCTCAGCAGAGGGACAGAAAGCTTCTTTAATAAATGGTTTTGGAAAAACTTGATCTCAACTTGCCAAAGATTAAAACTAGACCCTTATCTTTCACCATGCACTAAATTAAAATCCAAGTGGATTAAAGACCTAAATACCAAAACAGAAATACTAAATGTGCTGGGAGGTAAGCTTGGCAGAACTCTTGAAGACATTGACATAGGAAAGATTTTATGAACAAATCCTCTGTAGCAGGTGAATTAGCAGAAAGAATCAACAACTGGGATCTCATCTTATTCAAAAGCTTCTGCACTGCAAAAGAAACCATCAACAGAACTAAGAGACAATCTACAATGTGGGAAAAATTTTTACCAGATGCTCTTCAGACAATGAACTATTATCTAGAATATAGAAAGAACTCAAAACAATCAGCCCCCCCCAACTATAAAGACCTGATTCAAAAATGGGCATATGAAATGAACAGACATTTTTTCAGACAAAGAAGTAAAAACAGCAAGTAAATATATGAAAAAATGTTCCACATCACTGGCCATTCGAGAGATGCAGATGAAAACAACCCTGAGATTCTACCTCACCCCACAAAGAATGGCTGCTATCAAGAAATCAACCAATAAGAAATGTTGGTGGGGTTGTGGGGAGAAAGGAACCCTTCTCCATTGTTGGTGGGAGTGCAGACTGGTGCAACTACTATGGAAATCAATATGGAGATACCTCAAAGAGCTTGGACTAGAGGTTCCATTTGACCCAGCCATCCATCTGCTGGGTATCTTTCCAAAAGAATTAAAGGAATCATATCACAGAGATATATGCACACCTATGTTTATAGCAGCACAGTTTGTAATAGCTAAAACTTGGAAACAGCCCATTTGCCCATCTGTTGGAGACTGGATAAAGGAGATGTGGTTTTTCTATAAAATGAACTACTGTTCAGCC